CCGGGTAATCATTTAGATCTTTCGGATGAAGAAACCAGATAGCCGCCATGTGAGCGCCCGTCTTACAGCTGCTTGTCATGCGGCTGTGGCATGCCCGCGTTACTCAAAAGCTTATACAGTAGGCACTTGACCAACCGGAAGAGCGTAACAGATTGCCATTCTATTCGAGGAAGAGAGCTGTGCCTATTGTAATCTCAGCTCCCCTCTTCAAGGCCAGCGGCTGTTGCCATTGCATTGAACCTAGGTGTTGCGTAGCGTAGTCTCCCAACGCCCTCATTACGTAGGCTTCCATTATATGAATTAGTCATATAGAACTCTGTTTGATCTCCTCTCACGGGATGCCGGAGCCCCCCCATCGCCGTCCCTCCGCCTCAACCAACGGGCACATTCACCCAACCCACCGCACGCCGCAAACGTGAACGGAGAACGGGCAGTAAGCCAAATCTCCAGTGTCACAGAATATATCAATATTCTCCGTCAAGCAGATAATAGGCGCCCTGGATGATTCGTCATCGTTGTCCCTGGCCCCATTAGGGCGGAATTCCGAGGATGAAGAAGCATCAAGAAGATTCGCAGCAAAAGGAAATATTACCTCGGAAAGTCCATGGAGTTTTGCACCTCTAGAGAAGAGAGGCCCGCTTCGCTCGTGGCGCTAGTACCAGTGGAGTAGCTCAGATGCTGTTTAGCACGTGGAGATCTGGGCAAAACCGTAATTCTTTTGTGGGGCCGTCTCCTTTATTATTTCCAGGCTCGCTTTATTTTTTTTATTCCATTTTTATTTGTCTGATTTTTATTATTTTCCTTCTTCTCTATTTCCGCCCGCCTTCTTTTTGACTGCCCACCGACTTGCAGACTCACACCCCTCTGCCAAGCTACGGAGTATTTTTTTGGAGCTTGGCGGTCACTCGCCCATTTAGGCAATAGCATGCATTCACACGATGGGTGTTTGGCTTTTCTTGGCTGGTGGCTTACTCAAGAGGAGAATACAGGGCAAAAAAAGGAAACACATATAGTAAGTAATAGTATTAATAGCCTACTCGTAACAAGTCTGACCCTGGGTTCCTTCTGAACTAAACCTGGCTTCTACTTTTGGCAACACGCTCGCAAACAAAAAAACGACGCTACATCATGCACGCAGACGGCAGTTGTACAATGGCTGCCGCTCTCTTTGAAAATTAAGGCTGAAACCGCAAGCCACGTTTTGGTGATTCAGGCAGTCTTGAGCCTCAAAATATGCTGACAGCAAGCAATACATTCCACCACCGCCAAAGTCTTTCTTACTGTACAAGTCCACAAAAAAAAATCATTATAAATGCTGAATACGTCGGGATTCAAAATATAATCAGACTAATTCAATCACAACCAAATTAGTCATGCCACGATGACTTGTACATTTGATGTTTGATAAGGGGGCCACCGCAGTTGTGGGCTGATGCAACCTTGTAACCCGGGACCCGTTAGCAGTACCTTATGGATACGGGATCCATAGAATAAAGGGAAACAAACAAGCACAAGTATATAAAGCGGCCCACATCCGAATTAAAATGCCCAATGCCCAATACTGGCACGGCCATGTCCGTGCTTCGATAGTCTGACAGCCAAACGTGCCGAGGCACAGATCGGCCAACCGCGAGATATACAAGGCAGACGCATTGCTGCCTTTCGAGAAATAAAAGAATTTTTTTTTAAATAAAAATCCAAATCCACTTTTTGGCTGCCGCCAGATCTGTCTTCTAGATAGGCCTATACAGAAAAGCCGGCCCGACGCCAATTTGCTTGGCTTTTTTACTTTCTTATTTTTTTTTCTCGGCTTCTACCGAGAAGAGGAAATCTTTGTCTCTGTTTCCCATGTGAAACACACCTTAGCTTGTGATTTTTTCTTTCTTTCTCGGCCGAGTCTCGCCTCACTGTGGGACTGCCAAACGTCAGTTTCACCGAGACTTTCTCGTATTATCCACTACGGCATCATTTTTTTTTGCTCACATTCGTCTCGCTCAAGTGGTCCAATTAAACACGCCACCCCCGTCCCATGAGCTTAAAAAATTCCACACCGGAGCAGGAGCATGGCTTTGTTCTAGAAGAACAAAAATCACAGGCTGTGCCGAGGCTCGTGTTTTTTTTTTTTGCTAGAGTTGATGACATTCAACAGTTTCTGTTTCTTATTCTACAAATATGTTGAGACTCTGAACGCCGCGCCAATTAGACGCCGCCAAGTGTAGGATTTTCTCTCAATCAATGGCTTGTGATTTCTGATTCTATCGTTTTGCGTGTCATCTGCCAATCCAGATTTAAATACCAACTTGTCCAAATACGAAAATATCGCTAGAAGCGAGGTATCAGCAGCATCTACGGTGTACATCAAATCACATGGAGTCGGTGAGCCTAGGTAAGACGGCATAGGCATATGCAAGTATCATTGTAGAATCAAGACGGTCGGGATTCACTTCACTTTCGCCCGAGGGTCCGTTCGACGCAGGGCCCGTGATGTTTGCCTTGGCTATAGTTTTGTTGGACTATTGAATGGCATCATTCATATCGAGTTATGGCTGCTTCTAAATGACGACTACATTACCAAAATACGCTAGCGTATAACATTCCTGCTTGAAGTAAATAGGCAAAATGAACCTCACTTCTAATAACAATTTCACAAGTTCCAATAGTACAGGTATCAGTTAGCCTGCCTGCTGTCAAGGACATCCCGTCTTCGCAAAAGCGCCGTTACTCTATAGAGACAACTAAACAAAAACCAAAAGTGTCTAATGCAACGTAGCCTGTATAAAGTGCGGACGGGTATTATCAACCTCTCTTTTGCAAGTTACGCATCGCTAATGCCTCCCCATTCGTCCTCACTGCCTGATCCAGAATCCGACGATGCATCCTCTTCCTCCTCACCTTCACCTTCTTCCTCATCCCCCTTCCCTTCATCCACTCCACGGAGCGAAACAGCCACCCCCGTGGACTTGAGCACCGGCATCCCAACAACATCCCGCAAAATCCGCCCATCATCGTCGCGGAGATATGGACCCTCCCCCTCATTATCCCCGTCGGCGTCAACAGAAACCTCCAATGCATCGTTGTCATTGCCGTCAGTCGAATCCCGCACAAACCCGGCAACAAAGAAGCCCATCACCCCTCTGCCATCCCCCTTATACGACCGTATGCATGCGTCGGCAACAATCTCGTCGCCCTCCGCGGCCTCGACCACTCCCCGGACGGGCCAGTCTCTCATTCCGCTTACCTGGTCTTCTCGCCGTAAGATGCGCCATCCTTTCGCTTTGGCAATGTCCGATGCCAGGGCTCGAATGACTACTCTTTCATTCTCTTGTGAGTGAATTGAGCATGTAGAGTAAGTAATCTTTTTAGCTCGAGGGAAGCGGAACGCATGTTGCAGCAGCGTCAGTTGAAAGGCAGACAGAGCCTCAAGGCGAGCTTCCAGATCCTTTTCCGACTTGACGACCGTCTCATTTCCGTCGTCATCCACCAAAACGTTCTGCGCACCTTGTTCGATTTCATCGTGGCTCCTCTTCTTCTTATTCGCATTAGCTGCGCTCGGCTTTCCCTTGCCACCGCCACGGCCATCTGCCAGCGGATCGGGGAGGTGTAACTCGGGCATCGAATCGCGACCTACGATGCCACTGCCCGAACAGCTCGGATCCAGCAGTAGAGCTCCCACATCCTTGTAGTTTTCAGCCATGGGGTCGACCTGCAGAAAATCCTGCCCAAATCCTATGCGCGTAACGTCCTTTGATCCCGCAATCTTGACCATCTTCTCCAGCGTCTGGGCTCTTCTCGAATCCTTCTCAAACGCATAAATCGTCTGCGGCGCATCTTCAAACCCAGGCCGATGTTGGTGAATAATGGCAGCCAGATGCGTAGTCTTGTTTCCCGGGGCCGAACAGGCGTCGATGACATCTCCATCCTCAGACCGTGGATCCAGCAGATAGGCCGGGAAGCATGACGCCTTGTCTTGTAGAATAATCTTCCCCGACGTGTACGCTTCCACCTTTGCAAACTCCATCCCCGCAGAAATAGCAAGCAGATTCGGCACATGAGGGTCAATGTAAATATGCCTGCCAGACTTTGTAACAATGTCCTGTATGCTCTCGGCTCTGGTGTGTTTTGAAAAGGTCGTCTCCAGCTGCTCTTCCACGCTGCTCTTGAGGGCGTTGACACGCACCCACCGCGGGTAATTGGCTTCTTCTCCAGCAGCCGCTCTTTCAACCTGTTCTCTCAAAGCGTCTATTGTCGGGGCCTTTCTTCTTAGCCTCGCCAGCGTCAGTTCTGAACTCAGCCGTCCCTTGTGACGCTCAATGCATGCCCTCAGTCCATGGCTTTGCGGCAGCGCAATCCCTTTCTTCGCGAGCAGTAAATCATGTACCAGCAGTAAAGCTAACGTAGGCGTGAGCTACATGATGAAACGGTAAGAAGAAAAGAGTCAGCACTCACAGGCTCACTCTGCGGTATTATACAGAAACTCATATTACCTTTCGCTCCAACTTTAAAAGCTCAGTCTTTTCAATAACCTCCTTCAATACCAGACTCCATTTTGCACTCTCTAGCACGAGAGCATATAGCTGTCCCGGTGGCGCTTTGCCATTCTTTTTGCCAAACACTCGCGATTTCAAGCTTCCGCTGGAGTTTGATGACGAAGACAGGATTTCTGCTGCCTCGTGGTAAAGAGACATTGTATCAGGAATTATATCTAGTAATCAATGTAAGATATAGATTGAGAAGAGGTTTGAAAAAGAAGTATAAAGTGAAAAATAAAATATTGCCGTGAGATGGGAGAGCTTGTTGTGAGAGAATGAAAATATGGAATTAGCCGAAGTTCAGCCGCCATCCGATAACCTGAGAGTCAACATACACGCACTAGCTCCATTTACACTTACACGGGCACTTACACGGGCACTTACACGGGCACTTACACACTCAACACTCGCAAATATTCACCTCCAATGCCTGCTCTGGGCACTGGTCTTATCAAATCACCTCATATTTACTTGTTAAACTCGCTCATAAACTTTTTATTTAGACTCTATAAGACCCAGTCATTCATAGACCTCGATTGATAAATGCTTGAAAATTCCCTCGCGGGAGGCCCCTTGACTGATCTGACAGATACAAGGGAAACCAAGAAACGTAAAATATGTTACCAAAAATACACACGTGAGAATCGAAGTATCCAACAATCACCCCGAGTTCAACAGATATCATTCCCGCTGCTGACTCGGTACCTTTACCCAAAGATCCCGCTACCATAAATCCACGGAAATTTCACCTATGCAATGCTCAAAATACTCCAGAGCACTCGGCTCATATAAATCCTAGAATCCTAAATGTGCCAAGATAGCGCAAAAAACACCTTAGACGCGGCGGGCGCGGTGACGGTGGGCGTGCTGCTCAGCGCGGCGAGACTTGGCAGCGGTCAGGCTGACGGAGCCGGTCTTGCTGTAGACGCTGATGGCCCAGCTTCCACCGCAAACCTCGCTGGCGGCACCCTCGCAAGCGGTGGCGCACTGAGACTCGGCGAGCTTGGAAGAGCCGACGAGCTCGTTGCCACAGTAGCACTGGCCACCGTACTCGGTAGCGGCAACAGAGAAGCCCTTCTTGACGCAGTTGGCAACGCACTTCTCGTTGGTCATGGGGCCAAGGTTAGGCAGGATATCACCGGTCAGAACACGGCCAATGTTGTCCTGGTAGCAGCCGGCGTAGGTGTATCCACCGACGGCAGCAGAGTTACCCTTGGTAGCAACGGAAGTGGCAGTAGGGGCAGAGCCAGCAGTGACTGTAAGGGTCTCAGTAACGGTGTGGACGTTGGCGGCACTGCACTGCTCGCCACTGCCGGCGGCGGCACCGCCAGCAGCAGGCAGGGAAGTAGCAGGAGGGTTGGACTCACTGGTCTTGGAGCCAGCGCCAGCAGCAGCCTTGGAGGAAGAGACAGGCTGGGCGGCGTTGACGACGTTGCTGGTAGCAGCAGCAGCAGGCTTGGAAGAGCTTGCAGGCTTGGAACCGGTAGCGCCAGAAGAGCCAGAGGAGGAACCAGAGGAAGCATTATTGGTGGAGGTGGAGGTGGAAGAACCAGAGCCCATGGCGGGAGCCTCGTTACCAAAGGTGAAGCCGCTGAGGGGGTTGTTACCAGGCAGAGCAGTGAGGTTGCCGGTGATGACCTCGTTGACCAGAGGAGGAATGGTGCATTCGCCGCTGTTCAGGCCGTAGGGCAGGTCAGGGCACTGGTCCATACCAGAGTCACCGGCATCACAAGTGTCGATGATGTGCTGGAGGACATCCTCATCCCAGGCAGCCATGAAGTCGGCGTGGCCACTGTAGCCAGTAACGTCACCGTTGGAGAAGACGAAAGGCTGGGTGCCCTGGTTGGGGGTCCAGCGGCTGGCAAAGGGCTGGGTGTCCATGTAGGCCTCGAAGAAGATGTGAGGAGTGTGAATCCAGCCAGCAGGGCAGTCGGCCTTGCCATTTCCAGCATCGGTGGGGAAAGCAGTGTTGGTCTTGTAGTTGGTCAGGCCGGCGGCGGGGTTGTAGCAGGAGGGGAAGTGAATGTCCAGACGGAGAGGAGAGTACAGGCCGTCGCAGTTGACGTCGGGGAAACCAGCTCCAGCGCCCTGGTTGTTGGGGTCGACCATGCCAGCCTTGGAACCGTCAGATCCGGCGGGATAGGAGGGAGGGTTGTAGGAGGATCGAGGGCAGGTGAACTGGATCGGCTGGACAGGGCCCTTGGAGGGGTCCAGCTGAGAGCCACCGCCGCCAGACGGGGCGACACGGGTCATGGCATTGCCAGAGACCATCTGCAGGCCCGTGGGGAAGGCCTTGATGTCGTCGTTGGTGGCCTCGAAGAAGTAGTAGACGTTGGTGTAGTAGACGTCGACAGACTCCAGGAGACCGGTCTTGGGGTCATTGAAGTACAGAGTCGGGTACCAGTAGTTGGAGAAGTCACCCTTGACCAGAGCGGTACTGCAGTTGGACTTGAGCAGGTCCTGGCCGGTGGAGGAGAAGCCAAAGTTGCTGCCTCCGAGGACGTTGTGGACGTGTCCAGAAGGACCGCCGGGCTGGACAATGGGATCAGCACGAGTGGTGACCAAGCCCTTGTTGGTGAATCGCAGAACAGCAAAGGTTCGGCTGTCCTTGGCAGCCATGGCAGCGCCAGTCAGGGCGGCAGCGCCCGCGAGAGTAGAGAACTTCATGTTGGAAGAGAAGACGGTTTGTAGGATGCAGAATCGAGAGATGCTTTCGACGAGCGGTTTGAGATGGTCGCTAGGACGGTTGTAAATAAATGCAACGGTGATACCTGGCCACCTTTGAAAAGAATGTGTATGTTATATGTGAGCCACGAAGGAATGTCGAATGTCGTTCGTGGTGAAAGAATGGATGATACAAAGAACGTAAAAGAAGAAAAAGAATGCAATGTATCGAAAATGCTTAAAGGAGAGGAAGTGCCCAGCAACTTGAAAGATGAAGCGGCCTGGAGAAGGAAAAGAAGAAGAGACTGGAAAAGGACCCGGCGGCCTTGGAGATATATAAGAAAAAAAAAAGTAAGCGACAGGGAGAGAAGGTGAGGCATCTTGGATATGGACGATTGAGGGTATACGGGTGGGGTCGAAGGAGTTCGTGCCTTGCCTGTGCCTGTCCAGGTTCCTGAACAGGCATGGACAGGGGGGACCCTGCGAATGCCGCTTGTGGCCAGCGCTTGTGGTGGGTGGATGCACAGAATGCGGCGCCCATGTCCCTGAGAGCCCCTGGCGCCAGCGAGCCGGGCATGCCACCAGCACACGCAGGTACCTGTACTTGGGTGAGGGACTGCCAACAGCAGAGGGAGCTGTCCAGGAGGCAGAGAGCCAGGTTGGGCCCTGTGCTGGGATCCATGCGTAAATGAGAAATAGATTAAAAACAATAAAACAGGATTGGTGCAATTATATTGCTCCCAAATAGGCACTGCCCAAGTCATCACACTTGCCACGGCCAGCTAGAAGAAGCAGAGGTGGAAAAGACGGCTGTGAATACCTCAGGCAACTTGCAGCCACAATGCCGGCATGCGGAAAATGAATCGTGCATCCGAGTGAATGAATGCTAACAAACAGCCAGACACTAATGTATCAGTACACGAATACGCTCTGTTTACCCCTCTCTTTCAGACACGCTGAGGTGAATGTGAGCGCACAAGCAAAAAGTCCTGCAGAGTTACACTTGGGAGACACATGCATTCATTCATTCAGTCAGTCAGTCAGTCTTGTTCAGCCAAGTAACTGCCCATCTCGGAGAACACAAGCCACACATGTGCAGAGCAAGTGATATTCCACACACCAAGTGATGGGCATCCGTAAGCACACCAAAAGTCAATATCAATCGCAGCCGGTAGCAAAACACAGAGAAACAAACCCCTTGCTCCTTTCTCATCAGCTAACGCGGCTCTGCCTACAAAGTTTTCTGTTCCTGCATTGGCGTCAGTCCTCCCAGGCCCTAAGCCGCGACGGGGCATAACCAGCCGGCGTGGCGGCGGGGAGCCCCAAGGCCCGCGGCTTGTTTCAACGGCTGCACAGTGGCCTGCAAGTACCTGCTACCCGCCCACCGCGCATTGCCGCCGCCAGAAATGCCGCTGGCCGTGGGACTGCGGTACCTGTACAAGGTGATGCACAAGGTCACCTCTTTTCGTCCCAACGCCCATCCATATCCATCGTGCTGGATTCCCACTTCTTGGCTTGTCATCTGTCATCTACTCCAGACTTCCGTTCCGACCGAGCCCACCGTGCGCTTACTACTTTGGAGCACAAGTACGATAGTAGCACCGAAATGTTAAAATTAGGCATCAAAAACCGTTTGCCAGGCTGCGGGAGTGTCCCGCCCTCTTGCTCTGCCTGCATCTTGCCCCAATCCCCTTTGCCCTCGTTGCCTTGTCGCCTGTACAGTATATTACTTGGTGCATACTGCAAGTGCTGTAAACACCCTTTCCGGAATTCCAGCCCATATCCCGCTCCCGCACAGATTGTATGGCGGCCGGCCACGTTTCTTGCGTGGCTGGCGCTAAAGCCGTAGATCTGAAACAAAGTGTTTGCTTGGCCGCCTGACCGGGATCCGAAGTTGCATCGCGCCAATCTTACTGGACGTCTGCTGGGCTGAAGGGGCCATTGACTGCACCAAATACACGCATCCCACCACTTGAGCGTGCAGTAGCACATACAAGCAGTGCTTCCCTCCTTATCAGCGAGTTGCTGTTGGTTACTGACTTGTTTCTGTTTGTTTGCTGCAGCCGACTATTAGAGTGGCTGCAGCAAAAGCAAAAACTCTACTCAGCTGTGTTGGCCCCTTGCATCAGAAAACCTGAAAGCTTAGTATAGTGCATGTCCACCTCTTTCTTTCTTTCTTTCTTTCTTTCTTTCTTCTTCTCTTTCAGCTGCTATCCGTTGCTGTGTGCCGTGTTCCGTGTTTCCACCCCCTTTTCTTGTTCTTCTCCAAAAAAGACAAGAAAAAAACTCTTCTTCGGTGTCGGCCATGTTCACGACATACTGTATGGTATATGTGATACATGGTCTCGATCGATGGGGGGAAAAGAATGGAGTCGTTCCCATAAGTCTGCCTGCCAGTAATCACGCATCGGTCCACAGCTTCCAGAAGTCGTGGTGACAGGGCCAATCAATCTCGCTCGGCGCCAACTGATTCTGCTGAAATTACGGATCGATGGAATCGAGCAGAGCAGAGCAACAAGCCATCGGTGGTGATAGCCGAATCCATCGCCATCCCCTGGCCCTGAGCGACATTCTGTGGCCTAGACCGAGCATGGATAGGGGGCCCACCCGTCCATCCATCACCCATCAGCCTGTTTTTTTTGCATAGGATGCCCCGTACGACGTTTGTTCCGAGGCTACACCGCGTAGCCCTTCTTCTTTCAACTTTGATAGGGGTCGCGGCTAGGGCAGACACTAACAGCAGGCTCGGGCATGCTTCCGGCCTAGTCCAGCCAGTTTCGAGCGTACATGCAGTTGTACCTGAAGACGCATTCCTGTAGCTATCAATACGACTATGTGATATTAGATACTGCGCGCTTGCGGGTGTGACAAAGGCGAGATACCCCGAATCCGACTCTGCCAGGGTGGATTCCTTCACACGCCACCCATTGGACAAGGGGGTTCTATCGGAAACGCGGAGACGTGGGCACTTGCGATGCTTACTGCTGGCAGCGCTCACATGCTGTATTGGTGATGATACGATGAGCCTCCTGGTAGTCGTATAGTAAATACAGGCAGTCCTGCATATTCACGTATTCTGTCGACAGGTCATGTTTGTTCCCCTATTCACTGCTCCTCGCCATCCCCTTTCAGTCACATTCTCAAAGCCTCCTCAGCATAGGCATCAACACCAGACGGCTTCGGAGCAATGCAGTCCCCGTAACGGCATGTACTAACGCGCGTTTACTCGCCTCTCGCCTTTGACTCGTCCATTTTAGACATCTTTTAGTCTTGCCATCTCCTGTACTGTACTGTACTGTACTCCCCATAATAATAGCCTGTCCTCCTATTCAAGACGAGAAAAAAGACTGGAAAAAAAACTGCCGTGCCCCCAAAACTTACATGACAAGGGGTGGGAACGGCATGCCTTTGAAACGCACTAGCGCTGAGTGGTCGCAACGCCCTTGCCGATTGGCTGCTTTGGCCGAGTAGAGAGACTCCAAGGTTGGCTTGAGGCTTACTTGAGGTTGGTTTTGTCAGAATGCTGTACCTGCTGTTCAAGTCATGGGCCGAAAAGCCTGTGTGAGAATCATTTGATGGCAAGATCTGGACCAGGGGCTGCGGGCCGGCAAACTCTTTCCTTTTTTTCCCTTTTTCCACTATTGGCATGTACCATTAGCACTAGTAGAACTACATGTGTTAAGCATTAAGCATACGAGCGTATTAGCAAGCGTATTACTGTAGCAAGAGTACATGCAATAAGCCGCCGCTGGGCAAACGGGCTACTTTAGAAACAGTCCAGGGTAAACAGTAAATAGAGGTCAAGGAGTTCATCACACTCGTACTCTCGCTATTACATGCACATGGAAAGAGAGATACAAGTGAGTTCATGGTAACTTGTGGTTAGACAAGATATGTTGAATCGAAAAATCGATTTGGACATGTCAAATACAAATACGTAATCACATGCATTTTTCCATATGTCTAACAACTAAAATTCACGAAGAGACAATCAGCTCTACCCACCCATCAAGCTTCTCGCCAAGATTATTCTGCCAAGCACTATTTCAAATATGCCCATTACACAAAAGTGCGGAGTAGTGCATCTGGCGTTCCGCAGTTGTACAAAAAAAGGCCATGGTCCCATACAATCCCTTCTGGCCTATTCGAGGTTTCAGTGCGGCACCACCCATCCGTATATCAGGCGATAGTCTCGGGCAGATTGCCGTTCTCTTCTTTCTTCTTCTCACATCTAGAACTTTAGATGGAGTCAAAATCAGACGGGGGGAATAGCCGAACGAAGCGGTGTACGTACTAGTATCGCCTACTTCATATAACACCATTAAACTCGAACACGATAAGGGGGGCCAAGGTAAATGAGGCCCTTCCATGACTGTCGTACAGCAGGCGGACTTTGCCTTTTACTCATTTTCGTATAGGTAGATGGCCGATAGTAGTGCTACTACTACTAATCAGCGTTGGGGCATGCATGCGGGAGTAATATTGAGCCCCCGCAATTACTTCCATTCATTTTCCTCCCCTCTTCCCCTGGTCTTGGAATCCGGTGAGAGAATGTCATTGCTCATACGAGTATAGCAGACAATTGAGCCCCACGCTTGAGCTTCCCCTGACTATTAGGCGCCGTAGAGGGCGCCAAGAGTCCACACGTGCGCGCTGGGTTGTTATTTCTGGGTAACTGACAACGAGGGTATTCGCATATCGTATACCGTTGTCGAGTATAGAGTGACAGCGGATCGCGCGCGCCTATAAGAGAGACATATCCCGCCAAGGAATATATACCACGAGCTCCTATAGTGAATTTGCCTACTTGGTGCGCAAACGACAGTCTTGAGCATATTGACGTGAGAAAATTCATTGCGTACGTAGATTATACAGGATCCAGATGTCATCTTATGCCTGCCTTTATGGTCTCAAAGATGGACTGGCAAAACGGGCCGGGGGAAGAGCAAAACTTTTTTTGCCTCTTATGGAAACACGCAAGTAGCACCTTTTACAAATCGAAGCATGCCGTCCCCATTCAGACAAAACATGCCCATGAACAGATACGCCGATAAGTTACTTGCATACATTTAAGTTACAACTTCCACGCACATATTTACGGCAGAGAGAAGACGTAAATTTTGTTTTTTTGGCGCATATACGGAGTAAAATGCCCGTGAGATGACTGCTGTTTGTCGGATAGTGAGCATCTAATAATAGCCGTGGCTTTAGTAATCAGCCCAGTCTAGGCGTGAAGATCAAAGAGACCCCGAATTAGGAAGTTTGGAATTGATCAGCGCCGTTCATTTTCGTTGATCCCAGCTTTAGCGTCACGATGCCTGCCGCACTTCCTTTTAGTCTACTCGTAATGTGCCTTTATAAGGCAAGCACTTCGCTTCCGTGCTTATCAACTGCCTGCCTAGCTTGGTCAAACGTCTATAGTCGTATCGAAGATAACTTGAGGCTCCTTTGTTTATAGCTTTTTAACTGCTACTGCAGCTTACGTTGAATGTTTGAGCCAAAGATACTAGAGACCCATCTATGTATGTATATCATCAGACGATCATCTTTATCAGACAAATAATCAAGGGAAGTAAAGGCGGCTACGCCCATCCTCCCGAACTGGTATCGCTTGTCTTGGATATTTCCGCGATAATTTTTTTTTTCTTTTTTTTTTAATTTTGTCCATGCCATTGTCCATGGCCAATAACTTGGTCAGACAATGGACCAACTAATACTCGAGCATCTTCCCGTTTCCCCCAAGCACACGCCAACAGATCAAAACAGCGATAGGATTGAAAAGTATTATTGGCAATATGATCATTCTGCAGACCATGTGCCACAGCCATTTCGAAACCAAGTTCCAAGGCAAGCTGCTGAAAGACGGCAAACTCCATTCACCCAAAGGAGAACAAGGCTATTTGCAACTACTGGCTTGGCTTGGCAGCCAAAATGCCATACCTAAGCACTATAATTCTCTGCGGCCAACCACGTGTATTCAGCATCGTACTATTCAATACTACCTACCATCTGTAGACCCATCCCTCAACGCTTGAGCCATCAATACGGGCCGAATCTTCTGTTATTCCACCAATCTGGCGACGAACGAAAGTGCAAACTCATGTGTAGGTACAGGTACAAACGTATATACTGGGGTTGGCACGGCATGGTGGCTTGGGACGTGTGGTGTGGCCATCGATCCTAAGCGGTCAATATTTTCTTTCATGCCATTGTGGTCCTCCTGCATCTGAGAGATGGTTTGTTGAATGTTCTTGAGGACAGACTCCACAGAGTTGATTCTCGTGTCCACGTTGGCCATGCTTCTCTGTTCAGTGCTGTTAAATCATGGAATACTCGTCTTGGTCTGTTTCCTGTCTAATAGTTGGTTAAAATAATTTCATTCTAACCGAGCGATATTAGGTACACATGTAAGGTACTAGTGGTATTTTTTTCAAAGCTTATCTTTTGCAAACTGGAATGGAGCGTATTTAGTTGAATAGTTGACATGCCTATCAGGTATATCGCACGCAGATCAAAACCCACAGTTATATCTTGTTACTTTAGGGATATATAAATAAACAAAGCCTTTACTCTTTCAACATCTACATTAAAAAAGCCCCCTGGAACATCATCGACTTTGTAGTTTAAATTATTTACATTTTATGTCGTTCACTAGGTAGGTAAGCTTTATAGGGCGTGTGGTAGAACAAGGAGAGGTCAAGGGGATCGGAGGCCGGTCCCGGAGCGTGGTCTACGATATCAAAACGTAGGACACGCGGGGGTGGGATCAAAAGGCTTGATTCTCTCCATCTAAACTAAGGGGGTACAGTGGCTGTATATTCTTTATTGTCCTTCCCATCAAAGGGAGCCTCTTTGACTCGGCACCTAGTCACGCGTTCCACGCCCCAGTCAATTTCACCATGTATATATGTTCATCATATCGTCCAACTTTCTAGACTATTCTACTTTGAATGACTGTCAATTATTCTTTCCATGATTCTATTGAGCCTGTAGCTCCAGCCATGTGGTAGTGTGTGCATGTTGGTTCTAAGATGACTTTGCTGAATTTGCATACCATAACTAAGAGACCGTCTAGTCCGTCATTAGTGCATGGCAAGGCCAGGAGAAAGTCGATTGTAATTGCGTGGTAGGGCGTTGGCGGGGGTAGTACTATGGGTTGTAGGTTCGTTATCTGTACCTACATGTTTGACATGATGTCAAGTACCTGCGCAGCTTCAAGAGATTTAGGGAAAAGTTACCATGTACCCCAATTCTATTACCCAGGAACACGGGCTGCTATTACCTGCTGCTACCTCTACTACCTGTGTTGTTGCTGTTACTCTCGAGTGTATCTAATAATCAAGTGATGTAAATATAGACCAACTGCCCATTCAAGCTACAGCTAGAGTGTTGGATAATACAACTTGAATACTGGAAAACTTCTCCCGACTCTCATCGCACCACTAGAGTTTGAACATTACGTCTGTTGGCGCCGATTAGGCGACATAAATTCACTAAAACATCACCGGTAGTCCCTTAGACTCAGCGAAAACAGCATCTTTATTTAAACGATCCCTTGTATAGAATATAAAGCAACAGAATTAAAACATCCCCCCATCACAAACTGCTTCCGTGCTCATCCTCCCTAGGAAAACAAGTAGCAACCTCAAGCTTGCCAGTCTCCCCATTGGCATGAAACGAAAGCACAACAGACGCTCCGTAACTGAGCGGATTGCCCTCAAACACAACCAGATCCCTACTCTTGTCAAGCCCCAGAATCGACTCGACATTGGAGGTAACAAGCCGCACGCTGTCTTCCTGGCTGATGTGAGCGTACTTGGCTGCCCAGCCGGCTTCCGGGCCGAGGTCGTGAATGCGATAGTCTGCTGGCATTGCTAGATAATACAAAAGTAAATATCATAATCTTTTTTTATGAATGCCTTGGGAAAGTGCTTACCAGTCTCGAAAATCGCCAAGGCAAATGTGACACCAGCTTCCTTGAGATAACTGGCGACGCTTCTGGTGAGAGGAGGTCCAACCACCGCATCACTGTCGCGGAAAACATCGGGAGCGGCCCTGTTCTCTGATAGAATCACGCTGATGTTCGCAGCAGCAAGATCATCGGCCACCTGTTTAACCAATGTTAGCACCCCAGTCTCTTATTGTTGTGAGGTTTTCCAAGGATATGCGCGTACGTATGGTGCTTCCTTGCCACCCAAAATCACAAGATTGGTGTCGGGAAAGTCCTTTTTGATGAGAATCAACTGAGACATGTCATACTGCGGGATCAAGCAAGCAGTGTCAGCTAGCACACCATTCCATTCGTTCAAAAGCACTTGTAGAGCTCGGATTTCATCATACCTTGTTGTTGCAGTGTACAACGAGCGGCAGCTCTCCAGCCGCCACTCGCCCATACATGGTTCCATTATGCTTGCCCTTCCCATCCTCTAACATCTTACGAAGATGTTGCACTCCACTGCTGACCGTGCCCTCCGACTGCTTCGTGATGTCACCAAGGGCCAAATGAAGAGCCACGTCTCCCCGAACAATAGCCCCGTTCGTAAGACTCTTCTTGCCGCTCGTGAGAAACTCCACGCTGACGCCCTGGACAAACCCAGACGCATCTGCTGTCGGGAGCGAGATGGCTCTGGTTACTCCTCCCAGACGCGCCCTCGCAAATTCCTTTCCGTCAAGCCAAAGCCCGTATTTGGCATAGACCAAGCTCTCAGGATCTCCGATTTTCTGACTCGAGGCTTGCCCGTCGCCTGTGCTTTCGTCCGTGGCAATTTCAGTCATACCCAAAGCTCTGGTGACGGCTGTTAATCCTGGCAAGACATGGCCATTCTGCAGAGAGAGGTGGAGGACCTTGTTTCCATTTGTCTTGAACTTGTTTTCTGCTTCTGTGCATGAAGCTGCCGCGCCGAAACATGAAATCTCCCCATCCTCGACGACAAGCTTGAGAGGCTCATTGTCAGCCTGTGCCGCTGAAGCCGCCAGCTCCGGATAGTTGTCAACAAATGCCTTTTGAATACCATCAATTACAAAGCTCTGGCCTGCCTCGTATGCTTGCGAGCATGTCTGTTCTCTTTGCGCATCCGAGACCTCATATCGCATCTGTGGCTCAAAAGAGACGTTTGAATCTTCGGCACGAGCCGCAGTAAAACTCGTGTCCATGCTTTCTTTGACTTGAGATTCGTCCAACTGGGCTCGTCCATCAATGAAAACCTGTAGAGGTGTTGCGCCGATTGACAGAGGGTGAGAATCCCACACAACAATGTCTGCATCGAAGCCAGGCCTGCAGTATCCAACGCGGAAATCAAGATCGATTGCTTTTGCAGGCACGGAAGTGATTGACTGAAGAGCCTTTTCCTCTGGAAGCTTGAAGGCGTGTCCGATGGCTGCCTGAGAAGCCAGATACTTGGCATTCGTCAAGCCAATAGCATGATCAGACTTGTACGCCACAGGGATGCCGTTTTTATCCAAGATGTGTCCTGCGTATAGGCTTGGAGAGTATGCCTCTGACTTGTACAGACTGAACTCTGCAAATATCGCAACAGTAACGTTGTCGCCCTGCTCCTTGAGCAGGTTGGGCACTTTCCAGGCCTCGGTCGCATGATGGAACCCAGAGACTCTATAGCCAAACTCATGGCTGATCCGAAGCATAGTCTCCAGATCCTCCGGCTCATAGTTATGGTTCTGCACAATCACCCGTCCTCGAAGAATAGCCACTGTTGATTCGAGGTCCAGTTGAAACGGAAACTTGCCATGATGATGGACGAAGCCAGCCTTGCGGCTTTCACGCCAGCTGTGAGCCTCGAGGACAGCAGAGCAGTAATCATCCTGCTTTTCCTTGAGTTCCTTGGCTTTTTGCAAATGCTCCCGCAAGTGCCAGGCATTGCCAAGCCGAGTATAGCCATAAGTACGCTTTGGGTTTTCGCCAAATGCAAACTTCATATACCGACGGCGCTCGTCTGCAGGGATTCCCCTCTCAAGGAGGATGTCTTCGACGACGGGCTCGGAATGCTCTCCAGAGTAGAGTGAATTCTTGACGGGCACTCCCTCGCCAGCAATGAGGTTTGCCGAACCTGGAATGAGGAGCGAAGACGTGACACCGCCTGATAGAATCAGCGTGGCGGCCTCGTCATAGGCTTTTAGAGCATCAATCGCACGCACACTTGGGGTGAATGCTTTGGTATCAGGATTGACCTCATTTGTGTCATCAGTCATCTCAGCAGCAGGCCAGGTCATGAGGAAGTGATGAGAATGCATATCCACGAGGCCAGGGGTGACATGACGACCTTGAACATTGTACTCCACGACGTCATCATTCGAAACGACCTTGAGGTTGTCCGCAGTCTTGTGAATAGCTTCAATGATACCCTTGGAAAAGACAATGTCCACGGCGTAAGGAATGAAAGCCTCGCCGTCGAACAGCGTCGCATTCTTCAGAATAACAACTCCGGCCTGGCCATTGGTTTGCGACCACCGCGGATTGCTCTTTCTGGAGCCAGGCTCAGGCCGGCCGGGCACCCTATCCAGTCCGCGGCACTGGGCCAATGACTCTTCAAACTGCTGCAGCAGCCTTGGCGAGGCCTTGCCATCTTCTCGCGACTGGGTTCGATACTGGCGATCAACCGCAAAGCACAGCCAGAGCACGGACGCGGCCACCACAAAGCTTAGCCCTGTCTTGATGGATAAGACGCTCCTCATAAACAGCCGCCGTCGCCGACGTGATTGCCTGGGATACGCCGGGACCTGATATGGCGGCGGCTCTAGCGAGCATGAATCTCCGCTCTGGAGCAGCCTTTTTTCAGCCCCCTCGTCCATGCGGTGTGATGTGATACGATACAGCACGGTGCGGTACGAAGCGGGAGGAACACGGGCGCGTCGCAATGCCAGGGACCTGTATTCACGCCAATGCGAACGCGAAGCGCCTGCTGGTTCTTCGTGGTAGTGGCAGCAAGACCAGGTACTTCCAAACAGGGCGATTTCCACCAAAGGGTAGAGCCGATGTAGCAATAATTGCCACTCAGAAAGTGGCAAGGCGTTGAGCAACAGCCGTGTCGAGATAAGGGCAAGTTCTTTCTAGCTCTCCCACCCTGAGACCTGCTGGCTTTGAGACGTTTCGATGTAAGCTGCGCAAGACAAACAAAGTAAGTAAACAACGCCAGCACCTACAGTAGATAGAGAGATCGGAAGAGCTGCTCCAACCGCCAGTCGAGCACGCAAGTACGGGTTCTTACTAACCCACAAAGCGGCAGCGCCCTAGAACTTTTGTTGCCGTCCATGCCCGCTTCAGGGATAGGCGGCAAGCTCGCCGCAAAAGCTATTCCGCTTCAGTGGCGCTTTGCGGGGGACCTGAAGAGAAGCGAGCCGTTTGCCTTGTAACCACCCCTGAGTCGTCCGAGGCGACGAGTGTGATGGCAACGCCTACTTTTCTCTCTCGAGCGCATTTCTCTACAATAGATTTGTCCCCCCAAGATGAAGGGAAAGGTGAGTGTAGCGAATTGCATCCATCATAAGTGCTTGCAGACAGACTCAGTGCCTCCAAGGAGCGGTTCCAAGCCATGCCATGTGCGAACTGTCGGCTCTGGCACATGGTACTCGTGCGAATCGGTCTGGGTGGAAGATACGGAGTACCTCGACTAGCATTACTGGCCGGGCCGTGCCGACGCTTGGCCGCGCTCCCCGCTGATTTGAATGTGCGATATGCTTCGTACTACCACTTCTTAGTAACCAGTGAGACACAACAGAAGTCATACATATGCATGTACAAGACGGTGCTTACTGCATGCCTAGATTGCGCCATTGGAGATGGGAAGAACGAGAAGAAGGTTCACGTTCCGGGGTGCCTGGGACATTGCATCCGAAGCTCAGCATAAACGTCCTTCTCGTTACACTCTTATCCCCTTACAATGGCCGGTCATGGGCTGGAGGTCGCCGTCTTAAAAATCAGACGATGGTGTTTCCTCTCATTGGTGCATAATCAAAGGGCTGAAACGGTCGCTGGCAGCCGATCCTCCTTTTCGCGCCCGGTTTGCATGCGGTACGTTAAAGCGGCTCGTTGCTCTCTCTGGCTTATGAGGTACGGCATATTCGAGCCTTGAATTTACCTGAAACTGACAAAGAGCAATAATAAGAGAGAGAAGAGGTTCAGGGAGGCGGTGTTGAATAAATGGAGGGAAAAAAATAATGAAATGTTGTCTATCTCAGTAACATCGCCGAGACGCTTGTTTGCTTGCATCTCGGGGAACATTTTTTAGCCTGTTTCTGATATCCTCCGTGCCAAAAAGCTTGTTTACCTTGCCAATAGCTGTAACCATTGAAACTCCTACAGCCAATCATCGAGACAGCGCCGTATCCAAATACCAAGCTTAATAACCCAATCGATCAGCCGTCCAATGTTTATCGACGTACTTTTCTCATCGCTGTTCCGTCTAAGTCTCTCCACCTCTTCTTCTTCCTCTTGTCCTTCTTCTCTTATGACGGCAGACGAATATTTTCGATACCCAGATGAATTCTAGGCTGTGGCTCTCGTTATTGTCCGTTCGCGCACAATTATGCTGAAATGTCATTTTCCTAATTTCGCATCTGCCGCCTCCTTCTATGGCTTTGCGACGCCTCTCCATCTTCATCATCATCGTTATCCGAAGGGTCATCTGGATTTCTGAGGCCTCTTCCTCTATCATTCCCTTTCTTGATTGAGATGATGCAGCCTTGCTCTTTCAGTTTTTTAGCCAAACTGCTGCTGGCTACCATGCCAGGAAATTCTTTGGCACTGAAAACCTTGAAAGGTTCGCTCTTGATCTCTGCTAGAATGGGAAAGTGTCGAACAGATCCAGCTCGGCCAGGGTCTATCATCATCAGTGTAAATTTTAATCGAAACGAGCCCGGAGTACGGCATGACAGATCAGAAAAGCAGAAGAAGCAGCCTTCCTTTCCATTTTCGTCCTGTCCCACAAACGGCGTCGAAACAAGAGAACCCATCAACCGTCGTTGGTGTTGGTATTCTTCCGGCATGTAAGAAGAGTCGCGTTCTCCTGATTCGTCGAATATGGCGCAGCTCATGACATAGCTCTCGTACCGTAGGTAGACCCTGACATCCTCTTGCGTCAAATTCGGGTTTGTAACGATGAGTTCCACAATCGGAGGCGGGTCAATGACTCTTCGATCTCTATCGCCGAACCCGCAAGCTCGAGCTGCGTTTGGCTGTTGGCGCATTATGAGCTCGAAGCTGATGTCGCCCAAGAATTGGGCCTTGTTTGATTGCAGTAGATTGGGTATTTTGACCGGAGTGGCTTCTACACTGTCTTGATTGTAGAATGACGGCTGGGCCATTGGCCTTGAAGGCTCTGGCTGAAGCGTTGATTCCATCATGGGAGTGTCTTGGTCGTATCTTGTACCATACGATGGCGTGTTGATGCCCTCTGGTTCTCGGTATGATTGTGGCGGTGGCGGAGGCAACGAGTGATTCATGTGGTTCATATTAGGGGGGAATTGAGAAAATCGAGGGTCAGCGGAACTGTCGAGTCTCCTAGGCGCTACTGGCGGCATCATCTGAGGCGGTGGAACCGCATCTGCCATCTGATGGCTCGGATAGCTCTGATGGGCGACAGGTCCGGTATATGAGGCATGTGAAGGAGAAGTTAGGGGGGCTGGAATGCCAGGGCCGGCATTGTTGTGAGGATAAGACGGCGGTCGATAATATTGAGGGTGCTCTTGAGAGGGAGGTCGAAAAGTATCTGGCGTGTAAGGAAGTCCTGCGAGCAGATTCTGTGGAGGAGGCAATCGCTGTCCTCCCAAGACGGGGTTTGCAGAATAATGGCCCATGCCGACATGATCTGGCATGCGAGGCATATTCTCCAGTGGGTTAGGATTTCGAACATCCATTTCACTGCCGAAGCTAGAGAGCCTTGCTGCTGGATTGTAATGCCCTGATAAGCTGTCTTGGGCGCGCCCTGGAGCCGAAGACATAATCAGCTCTGTTCCAGTACAAGCAGGAGAAGGAGAGAAGAAAGGCAGTGGTCGAATGCAGGTGTAGACGGATGGTAGTGACAATGCAATGGCGGCAACTAAAAAGTAGCGGTGCTGGTAGTAGGAGCAATAGTATATTAAGGCCAGTCAGCGCACCCTAGCTCAAGAGCGGACACCCAAACGAGCCAATGCGGTTCTGGTTAGAGATCTCCTAGACCCTCATTCCAGGGCTCAATCGGGATGAGTTCTTGAACCAGGTAGAGGGAACTGCAAGCTGCATGCCTGCAACCAAGATCGTTGCTGGCGTGGGTGGAGGCGGATGGATATGTACGTGTGTGGATGCGGGGCACAAGGAGGAGTGTGTGTATACAGCAGCTCCAGCAGCTACAGCTACTCAGATTCCGCGACCGGGACAAGCGCAATGTTCGACTGGGCTGGCCTCGTGAGATTTGAGCGCGGTGCTGGCGTTGGGCGGCAGCAAGATATACCTGGTTGACAGCCGCCGTGAGTTGATGCAACTTTGTCCGCTCCACGCCAAACACAGCAGAGGAGAAGCGCATGCAGGGAGGGGGGCCGTACTGTACATGTGCATGCGTTCGATCCGGGTTGTCGATGTGTCGATGTGCCTGCTGCTTGTTGGTCTCCTTCCCACGTCCCTTGTGAGACAAAAGACGCGCCGCGCCGATGACTAGAGGGGGAAAAGAGGCTGCTGCCAACCGTATGGGCCAACCTCTGACTGGGGAGAGTCCTGGGGATAAAGGGTGCCCTAGTATACCTACTTGAACATTGGACAGTGCGGCCAAAGGGGATAGAGATGGCAAGCGAAGGCTGTTGCTCAACTCGACAACAGTATTGAGCGGCGTTGGTATCAAAAAAGATTGTGCTCGTGGGAGAGGAACCGCCGCCTCTAGCCTTGTTGACCAAGAAAGCGGTGAATAGGAGAAAACGCGATTCCGCAACGACTACCACTAGGAGCAGTTGTCGATATCTCGGACTTGTTGTAGCTTTAAACAGCCCCAGGGAAGTCCTAGTTGCAAGGGTAGATGAGGAGAAGACGGAGTGGAGAGAGTGGAAGAAGAGATGTGAAAAAGCAAGTACTTGTAGCAGTACCTACTAAAATGCTGGCGTATCAAGGGCCACGGCAGGCAGGATCAGTGCCAGTTGTCGACAAGGCCAACGAAGCCACGCAGGGGCTGGCCGGAGGGACGAGAGATGCTCGATGGCGAGTCCGTAGTTGGGACATTTGGCCAACGCCAGGAATCGAGCACCCGGCCACGCGAAGAGTGTTAGCCTCTCTGTTTGCACACGTACCTGTATACGCATGCTCCAAAAGTCCAAAAGGGCCAATGCAAGAGGACCCCCGTCCTTGGTGCTCCACAGACACGCCGCAGAAATAATGAGACCACCAGCGCGAGCGGTCCAGCCGGGGTAGCCAATTGGCGTTGACCAGGGGGGAGTGGGCACAAGTCACAACTGACAGATCTTATTCCCACAGGGCGGAGACGCATCCTCCCATGCCACAGCATGCCTGATGTGGCGGTGGGTGAATCCGAATCGCTGGGGCCGCTGCGGCTTGATTGCGCGTTGATTCCGCTAGGCGAGCTCTGATGATGCTGAGCTGTTCGTTCACGTGTGACGTACTTGGAAGAAGTGGAAGAAGCAGCAGTGGTATCACAGGCAAAGGTGCTCTAAACAGCGCACCCGCACGACTACCAGTAGGTTAGTAGTACTCTAGCTCTGCACCTCTCATATTCAACATGTGCTTCTGCCTCGTTTGAAGCAACCGAGATGTGGCGCCAAGTATTTCAGCGGCCGTGCAATGATGCTGGGTGTGAGGATGTGGCACTCAGAATGGGGCAAGCAACTGTGCTCTCTCTCTAGGCTGCAGCGCTGGGCTAACATTGGCACTTTCAGTCCAGCTCAAGACGTGACGCAGGGATTGTTGGCTGGCTGTTGGGGGCCTCGAGTACAAAATATCAGCTAGTGGTGCTAACCGCCAGGCCAATTCCAAGGGAGACCGGGTTACTCAAAGTGCCCTGATAGTAGTCTATACGTAGGTATACTTGTTAGGTGATGCCGCCTTAAAGCCACTGGATGCTCGACATCGGCTCAGCATACTTATTCGCAGCATTCTGCTGCAATATTCGGCATTGAAGATGTAAATCAAAGCATCAAGACACACCACGGGCTGCCATGGGTCTGAGAGCACGGGTTGATGGTCCTCCCTTTGGTCACAATTCGAGCATGAGTACAGTACCGTACTCAATATGGAGTACTCTGCGGTTGGGCCACCTCTCGGTGTGTGATGAGATGTGATGCCCTCTTTTCAACGTGGAAAAGGTGGTCTGTGCTGCTCTTGGCCAGCTTCAACTCGGAAAGGCTCAGTTGCGCGCAGGATTCGGTGCCACCAGTTCGCGATATCGAAGCGGCGAGAAGACAGGCGAGAGCCCTTTGGCAATATGGCAACCAGGGCAAGCGTTCCTCTCCTCTTCCATGACCCCGGCCAGCCTCGCTGACAACCAGCGATGAGGTACCCGACGCCGTGTGCAAGCCTTTTGCATAGAGAAGAGCTGCAGCGTCGCATCCAGAACGCATGGATGGGCACACCAACGCCTATCGTGTCTGGGCCGTGGATGTTGTTAATGCCGCCGCTCACATGGCACTGGCATCCTGACGGGGTCGCTTCGCAGGCGGCTGCACATGGTAATTCGCCGTGGTGCAAGTCACTCTCGTTAAGGAACAGGAAGCGAAGGCGAGGGGGCTGGCCGTCCGTGAAGTTCTAGAGGGAGATCCTTGCACCTGTTGGATTCTGCTCTCAGCTTTTTCTGCTCCCTCCTGTTCCTTGACCCCTTTGGTCTATGTGTGGGAGGATGGATCGTCCGTACTTGCAGGGTCTGGCCCAACCGAGCCACCAGTACCTGTGACAGCCGTACTGTACGCAAAAAAAAAAAGGCCTGCTCCTGGAAGGTCCTTGGCAACACTTGCCTCGTCTAGATGAGTATGCAGATGCAAGTGCAGTGCAGCGCAGTGCAGGTGCAGATTCAATGGAAGGAAGGGGGGCAGAAGACAAGCCAAAGATTGGCAGAGCAGGTTCTCTTTGGAGCTCTTGCCAGTGCTGCCATCGGGCTAGTACCTGTAACCGGGTATTAGGTACTAGCGGTGCTAAGTGAGTAGCGCGTGTGGGAAGGTACCCACTACCTAGCGCTGGCCGTTTGGCTCCCGTACAAGTAAGTATATACAGGTAGGAGCGTAGTAAAACTTGAGCTCGCTCTTGCGATGAACCCTGCGCTGGGCAATAAACATCATTCATCACCTGAATAGGAGATGCTCGGCAGCTTTGAGTACCTGTTTCAACTACTAGCAGGCGCCAGAGAGCTGCTCGATCAATGGCCACTCGCAGCCATTTTGCACCGAGATGATACGCGACCTGCACCTGTGCTGTACAAGCCAGGGGCAGGCTTGGGTTGCGCATCTGCGAGGAGCATCGGATATCGTCCGTCGAGCTGAACCTGCTTCCATGTCGCGACAGGCCACATTAGTACCGTGCATATGCCGTCGCAGCACTGCGACCTCCAAATATAGAGCCACCTCTGCCGAGTCTCTCAATGGAGATGATGTGATGCCACGGAGCAGGTGCCATGAGCAGGCAGGGACTCGCAGATGCTACACTTGATAGCAGGAGCTGCTCCCTTCTGCATGGTGCTGAGGCAGAAACTGCATCTTGATCCTCCTCGCGACAGCACCGTGCCACGACGCCCTTGCGAGAACCACGCGCAGCAGCACCATTGGCTCCTCTGACACGGCCAAACTCCAAATCACTGCCTCCCTAGACAGCCAGTCCCTTCTGATCGCCTCTGCTTCACTGACAGCCTCCGCCATTCCCTAATTAGTGCCCAGATGTGCAGATTCGTGCTACTGCTAGCCGTCCCCACCTGGTGTGCATTTTGCTGCCACACCAGATTGCCTGGCCATCCACCGGCACTTGCGTCTCGTCATCGGACTCTCTTCCGGCCTCTCACCGCCAATCCAGCCCTTTGCTTTTGATCGCAGTCCTGTCCAAATAAGGTACAGAGCAAGGTGCCGGTGCCGGTGGATTCAGCCGCGGAGTATTTGCCTGTCTCAAGGCCTGGCTGCTTATCTAATGGCCCCAGCAATCGCCCAGGAACCGCTATTATACGAAGCATCCAGTAACGGCGAGCGGGTGGCATCGACAAGCTTCGCCGCTGGCCTTTGCTACAGCACGCTTGTGATTCGGGCATCGCAGCTCGGCGCAGATTGCAAATGGATCGATTTGACCCGCTGGTTACTACTACTACTACTACTAGAATACTACAACTACGTCAAGTCCCGAGAGCTGCTGACCACGTCCAGCCATGACTTGCCGCCGACGGGCATCTTCGCTTGACTCGCCGCGACTCCGCACCTCCTGGACGCGGCGCTTGCTGCTTCTGCAGGCTCCGGCCAGCTTCTCTCTGTATTTGCAGATGAGCAGTCAACTAATCTCTCTTTGCTCCGGGGAACTGCGCGAGCTCTGCAGAACAGGCTCGTTGTGTCTATATGCGAGGAGCGGCCAAGTGGCAACGCTCTGTTTCCCGGCAATGGCCGAGACACCCTCTTGCAGCTTGGACAAGGCTGAGCGAGACAGTGTCTTGGGCCTAGCTCTTGACCCAACAGAGACGGCTTGGGCCACGGACCTTGTGCCAGCTCGGCAGCAGGAGCTGTCAATACGAGCTCTGCTCTCGTTGCAAAGGCTGCTCACGCTCCTGCTCGCGGGCATCCCCTCTGGCTGCTCCCCGTTAGCGCTCGCGTCTTCACTCTAGTTGCCAAGAACCGGGCCCGTGGATTTTGTTCTGCCCGGGCTGGCTCATCATCCCCGTCATCGCTGGTGGACAAAATACTACAGACATGGAGCAGTGCTCCATCCCAGTGCAGCATGCAAGTGGAAAAGTACGTCCGAGGGCGCATAATGCGGCCCCTGGCTGGTCTCTTCGAGGTTTGCTGGGTAGCCTTGTCCAGAATACTTCGTTGCATCGTCCCGTCTTCCGCTTCCCGCTTCCCGTCTTCCCCGGCGTGAAAAGAGGCCCTTTCGAGCAGGCTACGGGCCAGGGACTGTTTAGCTGTGGAGTTCCAGACAAAAAAGCGTGCCATGGCAGCCAACCCGTCAACTCGAGTTGCTCGTCTTCAAACCAGGACGGCATGAAGAGTTATCGACAGGTCTCACACGCCCTTTCCAAAGTGGAAGCTTATGTGAATGGCCGCATGCTGTCTTTCCCCTGTCCGTGCATTCCACGAAAATTTCCCTGGTGCATCCGCATGTCTCACCCATAAAACCACACGCACACGTGTCTATGTGGTAGCAAAACTAGGTGCCGCTGGTGATATCAGCCCACTGCTCATCTCAACATGGCACTTGGAAAACTTGGAAAACTACCTCGGTGACCGACGCTCATGCCTACTGGCTCACCGCAGACCGGCTGAGATTTTATTTCACGTCGAACAATATGAGACTGTCGCCAAGTTGACATGACTCGAGGGGTCGTGAAGGCATAGCCTTGCGTAAATTACGCACACTGTAACTGTCATCGTGTTTCTGTATACACATGTGTGCTCCACGCACAGGAAAGCTCATCTACCGATGGCTAGCTATAAACCACCGGCAGCCTCCTTTTCCACTGGCGTGACTTTTCTCCCTTGCATGCGAGCATTATTTGGGTGGATTAATAAAGCAACTGCCAACCGCCAACCAGCCAACGAACCGCGCGGCGAGTTGGCCCTAAACCCTGTATCGAAGCGTCAAGAGTTTCTTCATGGGGCTGTCAGTGGCGCTGACCAGTCACGAAAACGACGACTTGGTAATCCAAGACAACGTTGAGGTGTGTGAGATGCTTACAGCGCCCGCAAGTCCAGTCTTCTCCTGTTCCCTCAGCTTCTTGGGGTCCAAAAAGCCCCTTTCTCGCTGCCTGTGTGAAAAGTCCGCTGGACTACCTATTGGGCATACATAATGGGAATTATTCCAGGTTTTCAGTTGACGTCGCATCATCATATTCAACAAGTCTATTGTCACACTGCATACAGGATGGCCTTTTCGAATAACCAGCGTCGAATGCTCTCAATCCAGCGTATAAACACGAATGCGCCAAAAAAAAAAAAAAAAAAAAAAAAAAAGACAAGAGCCCGTCAAGTAGATCTGCTGATCCCGGATAGATGCCGTGGCACACATCAGGCATGCTATTATCCGCCGGAACCCGCTTGCTCCTCGGTGCTCCCTTCTCAAGTCCACATTTGAGTTACGGACGGCTGGGAGATGGTTAGTTGCCATGTATCAAATTCACATTCACCACCAACAGGTGGTCTGCAAGCTGGAATCTCTGACAGCAGACTATTATCTCACCAAGAAGGAGGGGGCGCTTCACTTCAGCCAGGTCTAGCAGGCCGGGCTTTGTTTCCCTTGCATGCTATAGCGGCTTGAGACGAGACATTTGCCCTGCGCCCAGCTGCACTCGCGCGCGCCATGCCTCGTGCTTGACTCGGCAATGATGACCTGTCAATTTGACGGCAGCCCTTTGGCTGTGCTGGACCAAAAGTATATTAGCCGATGAGGGGGGACGCCTTATGGCGCGGCCGGTGCGGCTGGTTGGCAGGACAAAAGACAATCCATTCGTCGACCAGTGAACAGTGTCGTGGCTACCCGCCCCAACGTAACGTTGACGGAAAAAGCAACGGCCTTTGTCTCACGGAGCTTTGGTTCCTAACATCAGCACTTCTGCATTAGTGCTCTGGAAGGCGGCAGTTTCACTTGACAGGTTCCGTATATCTATCGCTGCATGTTGGACCGTCAAGCCGGCTGTCGTGCCGGCGCGTGAAGCTTCTTGCGTGACCGCGGCTAGTGGTGCGTTTCTCTGTCGGTAAGGGAGGGATGTAGGAGCCTGCTCGCTCGTTGTTTCTCTGGGACCCGTGTCACATGGACTGTCAGGATGCGAAAAAAAAAAAATACTATTGGCCTTGTTACAGGAATAGGTATTACCGGCAGTAGTACTACTTGGCTGGTCACTCCCTTTTTGTTTCCCGTGTCTCCCACGAGCCAAAAGCAGTGATGACGAACCTGGAGTCGGGAACGAGACAGTGGAAGTTGTTTTCAGAAGATCCTTCGCCGTAGCATCTCGGCACTGGTGCTAAATAGCAGTACTATTGATCATGGAACCACTTTACTATATTGGGCAATCTACCTACCTAAGCATATGTGTCATGGTGGCATAGACGAGGCTCTCGATATCGTTTCTTCGAGAGGGTGTCAAGTGATGAAATGAGTGTCTACGTACCTGGAATAGATGTCATTTTAACACCACTCCGTCTTCGCAGTGTATCTATTTACCCATGCAATGGCATGTGTAGCCTCTCTTGACATATCATCGTCTTCATAATCTATCCATCCACCTACCGATACGGTGATAGATGTAGTAGTTTAACACAATGTCGCCTTCATAGTCCATCTCTCCATCTACGCTACAACATGTGTAGCCTGGCGCAATATCGTCTTCATAGTCTGTATGTGATACCCCTCGTAATCCATCCTTCTGCCCTTGTATTGTCCTCAGAGTTCAATCCTTTAGGAAAATCAATCTTGGAGAACCAGGTCAAATGTATTGCTGGAGCGACTATCAACGCACCATCTGCTCGGCAAATTGCGTCTGCTCAAACAGTGCCGCATAAAAGCACGTGTTAACATTTAAACTTGCGTATTGAAATGTATAAAGATTTTATTCGTTGACAAGTTTGACAACTTTCTTGTATCTAGTACCTCAAGTTCTTCCAACTTTGATACCTGGCAAAGTATCCAAGATACATCCTGCCAATTTAACCAAGTCCTCCTCGCTCGTCTCTCAACAAATGTTGATGCTCCTGGAAATCATAATACTGTTTCCCAAAAAGTAAATATACAAGAGTATATGTGTATATGCAATATATATAGGTAGCCTCAAAAGGACAAAAACTATGTAGCTCCAATATTCCAAAAAGAAAAAGCAAAGGCCAACACAGACAACAGCATATGAAAGCAGAGTGCGCTGAATGGATGCCGCTAGTATGGTATGGTGATAAGAGGTCAGCAGATATTGGAGTGGTGTATATAATAATGATATTAAAAATATATGCGTTGTTGTTCGTATGTATTGAAAATCGTTGAAAACATTACGTTTAAATTTGAGAAAATATATCCCAGTAAAAGGACCGTTTGTATAAATATGCAATATGCTTGATCGATATATATACCATCTTGAACAAGCGTTTTTGATGAGTCATCGCCTACAAGGCCGAAATAAGAGTAATGAGGGTAGCACAAAGGGCGGCTAATGTAGTCGTATAGATGGCTGGTCGTACGGCATGGACTCCTGATGAAGCTGGTGGCAGAGTGCTGTTGACATAATTAGGGCCGCACAAAGTGTTGACTTGGCGTGCCGCGGCCTGGTAGACACCGGCAACTAGTGAGCTGCGGACTGCAGAGGCAGAGTAATAAATGTCCATAGTCTGCTGGGTGCACCAGCTGCACGATGGGTTGGAGCTGCCAGGCAAGGCTATGCCATAGGGCAAGAAGTAGAGATAGGCATCTGATGGCGTATTGAGATTGGTGACTGCGTTTGCAAAGCAATATTGGCTCGAGGTAGGGTTTTGAAGACAGGTTGCCGCATATACCGTCTTGTAAGCCAGCAGACCGTCGTATGCTTGAAGAACCAGAGTCTGATTTTGTTCAACCTCGGTCTTGCAGTTACTGGCCATGGTCAGATTCGTCGCGGCTTGACTCATAAAGGTTGCACAAGTCGACGAGTCAGCTTTGCAAGTTGCGTCTAGCACCTGCACTATGCTGAGAAGCGACTTTTCGGCTTGGAAGAAGCCAGTTGAAGACTAGTATGTCCGAGTTAGTTGGGATTCAAACCTAGTTTGGCGTATTCCACATGTCCAATGTAGAGGATATACAAACTCACCTGGAGCATCATGGAAAGCGGGTAGCAGCTCTTGAAAGTTGGGTTTGATAGAAGACTCGATATGAATTTGGGGCATGCGTCGGTTGAGCCTGAGCTTTGAAAGGCAGAGGCTGGCGTATTATCGAATGGCTCTGGCAACGGAGACGATGTTGCCGATGCACCGCTGGTGGACTTTGACAGCGTCGTGGTTGCGGCGGTGGGAGCTGCCTTTGCATTCCTTCTCTTCATCTCTCCATTCTCGCGTAGCATGGCATTGCTGCTGCGACCCATCTCCACTTCTTCGATGTGCCGTAACTCAGGCTCGCTGATATAGGCAGGAAATATATCAAGCAATTCCTCCGAAGATTGAGGAGATGGCGGCGGACTTGTATCGATTAATAGCGTTGGAATACGAGTAGAGGCACGCGCTGGCACTGTAGCAGCAGAGCTGATGGTCGCCAAAAATGCGATGATGAGGAGTGCGAACCGCATCTGGTACAATCGGCGTGTTGGTATATTGGTTTTGGAACGCTCGGCAGAGGCGGATATTAGTTGATTAAACATTGTGATGGATTGTTAATGACTGAAAAAGGTATTCAAGTAAATCGTAGTATTCGTTGGCGACCTCGATCGAAGCACGCAGCCTTTAATGCTTCTCTTTTGACAAAAGCTTACACGAGGTCAACCTGGTGCCGCAAATCGGATCAGAGCCGAGATTGAGCAGTGGTTTTTTGGTGGAAACTCAGTCAGCGGAACTGGTTATCGTGATGCATGGACCATTGCTCGGCTCAGATCAAGACGCGTGTAAGTCGGAATCGTTCTCGTGGCGCTAGGCGGGAGACTCGGTGGATGTGAGCCCCAAGATTTCGAAGAAGCAGCTGAAGGCGATGACGATGCTTCCTCTGCCTCGCTCGATGGTTTACCCAGGGGCTATTTGTCTGTTTTCTCTCAACTTCCTGAAGCTGCGTCCCTCTTCTACCAACAAAGCTCTTCTTCTTGTCTAGTCCCTCCACCACCCCCCGTTTATTCTGCCTCGCGATATGAGAGCTAGAAAGCAGACACCTCGTGGGAAGACGGAAGCAACCTGGAAAAGAGCAATGGCGCGAGGAAGAAGGAGAGAAATTGAAGCTTGAAAGCAATTGTTGGCACGAGGCACCTGCCTTGGCAGGCAAGAAGGAAGGGCAAGGCAAGGCGAGCTTAGCGAAGCAGGTGGTTGAGATTACAGGGAAGGCACAACGATGTAGATCAAACGAGCGGATGAAAAGAGCAAAGATGTGCAAGGGAAAGGGAAAGGACCCGGAGGAAGAGTCCATTAGTACTGGCAACAGCTATGGAGCAGCCGGGCCTTAGATAGGCAAAGAGGGAAGGGACGACGCGGACCTGCAACAGGCCCGGAGCTGCCAAGGCAGGCGCGCTCCTGGTTTGAGCAATCGCCCCGCCATTGACGGTGTGCGCAGCGCCTAAAGCGTGCAAGGCCATGCAGCTAGCGGCGTGGGCACGGGCATCATCACCAAAGCGCCAGCCAGCCAGCGGTGCGTGGGATGGGCCAAAGTACGGGGTATGCGGCACTGCGATTGGGCAGAGGACACTGGTACAGTAGAATACTGGATGGAAGAGAGAAAAAGCCCGCACGAGCCTTGGCGTGTCGATTGGAGACGATGCCGTGCTCGAGCGTTTCTACATGATGCCTGCTGCCCGTGCTCTTCTCTTTTTTTTTTTTTTCTTTCTCAGCACAGCACAGTCCAATTATCAAAACGAAAAAAGCCACAGCAAAACGGGAGAGCTACCAAGACGCCACGACCAGTAGGCGAAGGAGCGGCGCCTCCCCCTGGCCTAGTTTGGATAAGAAGCCCGTTAATAGCGCCAGGTGAGTTTAATTGCATCTCACAGTGTAGCGAGGCCGAAGCAAGCCACATGCGCAGGCTATTGGATCGAGGAGATTTTCTTCATTTTTTCAATTTTTTTTTTTCTTCTCGCAGTTGACGCCCGTCTTTGGCTGATGATGCTCTGAACAGCTAGCATACAGGATAGGATGTATGGCAACTCGCTTGAATCCCTCCATCTGCCGTGAGTCATCATTACGCTGCATCAACGCCTTCAGCCACCGTCACCACCGTGCATGAACAGCCAAATGCACCTTGAAGCTAAACGGCATCAAAACGGCCACAATGCAGCAGCCGTAGGGCGGCGGTAGGGTCGCACTGCTCTAGAATCAGGTCGACATGCAGCCAATAGCGCCAGAAAAGCTTGGCCTGGCTGCCGTGCCACTCCGGCTAGCGAAAACCGGCTGCTCTCCCGCCTTAGCCCCGAAATCCAGATCCCTCCACCGCTTTCACCTGCAGACTATTATATCTCGGTGGGATGCGGCAATATATCGACGGCGTATGATTCGAGCATGGCTGAGGAACAAGTAAATGAGCGGGGAAAAGAAAAAAAAAGAAGGCAGCCAGTTACAGGCACAGCAGCACCAAGTGCTCGGCCTGGGCTTTGCTACGATTCGGTGTGAAAGAAGCAGCACGGCAAATTAAATACGACACGTAGCATGCTTAGTGCACAGTACATGAAATCAATTGATTCTGCACCTAAGCATATACTACTGTACATGCAATACTTGAAGTATAATAACATTAGTTGATGAAAATACTCTGCAACAAATCCATTTCCCATCCACCAATTCTTTTTCAGTAGTGCTTCTTCTCTGCCTCTCCCACCTCAGCTCTCTTCAACGGGCACATTGTACAAGTACGACAAGCAACACGCGGCCCCCCTGCTGAAGAAAAGCACAAGTGCCATATACAACAGCTCCCGGAATACTAAACAAAGCCCCCCCAGTCACGCCACACTTGCAGCGTGCATCTTTTCCATCCACCGCTTGCCGTCCAGTGGATGCCCACCAGACCCCCATTACGGTCGACCTGAAGCCAAAAGAATACAGACAGCGAGCGCCACCAATTTTCCATTCACGCAAGTCTCGATTTGGTCGCTAAACAGCCACAATTGGCACAAGATTGCTGTCCAGGAAACAAAACACAACGCTTGCCTTGTAATTATTTGCTAATAACGCGGGGTCAGAGCACAGCCTGATTTCAGTTGCTACCCCTGTTTCGCCTTGCCCAAAAAAACAAGGAACCGAAAACAAGGAAAATAGCAAGTCTGGGGCAGAGCAATTCGTAATGCACCGGCTCACCGGCAACATAGATCCCTATATGGCTGTATCAGTTTCAGCCTGCTGCCCTGTATAGTCGGTAGTAATAAAACTGTACACACTCCAGACTGTATCTCACTACAGGTAGCACGGCATTAGCCTTCTCCATAATATCTATCTTTGGCACGGGCACTTTTTTTTTTTTTTTTTTTTTTTTTTTTTTTTTTTTTTTCCCTTTCCTGCCGCCTGAAGATCACGACAGGAGGCTAGTACGAAGTGGTGATGGGCGCTTTCAGGTACAGGTAGGTGGCTCTTGGCTCTCCAATTCTTTTTTGCGCGACATCTCTGTGACTGAAAGTTCCAGATTCAAGTCTTCGGCTCGGGATGAAACATTAGCTGTCAGCTATACATGGTTGGCTTTGTCATACCTACGCCACAATTACATGCTCTCTCGCCAAGTTTCTTACTTGGCAGGTGATAGGGATTGAAGAAGCGAGTACTTTCAGAGGGCACATATTCATAAACGAAATACGTACCTAGGCAATGTCAACTCTTGATTTGAAACAAGTATTGCATGACAGAAAATACAAATTTTATTAAAGTCAAATTATAGATCAATAGAGCAAGTGGTGTGTTTCTGCTATCAAGTACAAACCTCACGAGGCGAGGTGAATCGTCATCTTCCTTCTCCCGTCCTCCCTCTTCTCAAGCAAGGCGACTTACCAAACAAAGGAAAAAGAAAGAAAAAAGAAAGAAAAAAGAAAAAAGAAATACAATAGAAATCTCGCTTCTGCTTTTGAAAGTGTAAATGTGTCCGTCTATATACAACAGAAACAGTTGATGAGCAGCGAATTTTACCATCATTTTAGTTGCCATGTCTTTTACGAGCTCGTCGCCAAACTCTGCAGCCTGACCAATTCGGCATACCGTCCATTCTTCCTCATCAGCTCTTGATGCGTTCCAGACTCGGCAACACAGCCCTGATCAATCACATAAATGACATCCGCCGTCTGAATCGTGCTAAGGCGATGGGCAACAGCAATGGTAGTGCGCCCAGCCGCAGCCCTGTCCAAGGCCGTCTGAACGACAACCTCGGATTCTGAATCGAGGGCGGACGTGGCTTCGTCAAGAAGCAGGATCTTGGGGTTGCGTATTAGGGCCCGAGCAATGGCGATGCGCTGCTTTTGGCCGCCCGAGAGTAAGCCGCCCTTGCTGCCAACGAGCGTGTTGAATCCGTCGGGGAGCGAAGCGATGGTTTCGTAAATGTTGGCCTCGTGACAAGCCTGTACTAGCTCCTCATCTGATACGTCTTCCTTGGGCGTGCCGAGAAGAATATTCTCTTTGATTGTCCCCGAGTATAGAGTTGGCTCTTGATTCACAAGCGAAATAAAGGATCGGTAGTCGCTAACATTCAGGGTACTGATATCTTTGCCGTCAACATAGACACCACCCGCCAAAGGGTCGTAGAACCGCTCCAGCAATGAGATGGTCGTGCTTTTGCCACACCCAGAAGCGCCCACCAAGGCAACATACTGGCCTGGATTGATCGTCAGGCTAAGGCCTCGAAGAACAGCTTGCTCTGGCCGCGTAGGATAACGAAAGTGGATGTCACGGAACTCAACTCTGCCCTCTATTTCGCCCTTGCTAAGACGTTCGCCCTCTTGTGACCAGGAATCAATCTTCGGTACACGATCAAAGAGTTTCTTCAAGGCCAAGGCCGATGTATGGGCCCTGCCCATGTCGGGCGCAAGCGAAAAGAAGCTTCCTGCCGACTGGGCGCTGTAAATAATGCCCATGAAGCAAACAAAAAAGGTAAACAGGTCGTATTCATTAGTAGCAAGCAGGGTGCCGCCGTACCAAAATCCAAGTGCAAAGCAGAGAAAGGTGCCGCCTTGGGCAGCACCATAGACGGCACTCGATGACAGTATGGATTTCAAACCTTTGCGCCGCTGGGCGGCAATATCACCGCGATATTTGCGCATAATGTCCTGCTCGCGAGTAAGGGAAGCAACCGTGCGGATGGATGAGATGGCTTCGGAGGCGTAGG